AGCAATCTTTCGCACATTTCACTACTGCTACAACCGTTGGCAAAGAACGTGAATCTTTTTATTTTTATCTCTAAAGGCTTGAAAGATAGTACATTGTTTTAAAATCAGGTCAATGTTTTCACGCAAATTATCCAGTAATCCTGTCTGCAACTTTCTACCATGAAATCTGCGAGACCTCGTTAAAAAATATTTTGACTTACTAAGGTTTAAAAAAAATCTCGAAATTCAAACGTCATTATTTCATTGATTACGAATCTATAGAATTTAATTTCACATATTTCCAAGTTTGACACATTCCGGAAAAATTAAATCACCTATCTTCAAGTTTGAACGATATTCAGTAGCACTAAAAAGCAATATTTAGTATACTTTGAAGAACATTGCCAGTTCGCTCATTAACCTCATGAAATACTTCTAGAATGTACAGAGTTTAGTCTCAATTTATATCAATTTAACAAGGAAATTTTTGCTTTTCTCATCGGGAACGAATTTCTCGCTATAGTCCAATAACTTGAGTTAGGTAATATTTCGTTTCAGAACAAAATTATGAACTCTTTGTTACCTAAGTTCAATTGTTGATATTTTTAGTAAATTGAAAAGACCACAGATTCCTCTAATTGATTTTCGTAACCGTCTACTTCTCTGCTCAGAGAGGTTAGGTATGAATACTGATATCCCGCTTCTCTTTCGGGGGGGCAACACATTTACAAGCTTCGTAAAATCGCACTTTTTTTTTATAAAACGTTAGTATAATATCCAAAAGATATGTTCTAGAAGTCTTACATTGAAATTTAAAGCCGTTCTTATGTTGTACTTTGTGGCCTTGAGTCATCCGCACAGCGGCTTGGAGCGCGTTACGCTAGGTCAGGCCGAGGAGTTCTCCGCTTTTGTTCCAATTCTCCGGGACTTCTCCGAAACCTTTGTGCAGGTCAGGGGAATAAAACAAATGTTTAGAATTGAGCACACTCTGTTTTAGTAACGTATATTTAGTGGAGCAGAGCAACAGACACGCTCAGTATAGCTCCGCATTTCGTTCGTGCTTAAACGTGTTTGCGAGCTCAAAATGCCAAAGGCAGAAAGTAAAGATAGTACGGAAAGAGTTTCAAGTCCTCGGAAAAGAAGTTTTAAGGGAACTCAGTTTATCGATGAAACAGAAAGTCCAAACAGAAGAAACACTGTAATTATTAATTTCCAACATTTGAAAACTTTAAACGCGTTTTTCTCAAAACTGCATTATCGAAATTAGCGTGCAAGATAACTCCGAAACTAATCCACCGATCCTAATGAAATTTGACAAACATTTTCTTAATATTTTGTTTTTGGTTAACTTTAAAAATAGAGAAGAATTTTATATTTTAAATCATTACAGCCGATACCAGGCTACACGCCGTACAACTTCTTTTACAAATTCTTTAATTCACCAAGCTATATCTCCGCCATGTTGCGAAGAAGAGGAAAGAAAAAATTTTCTGTCATAGTGAAAAGTTATCATAAAATGATGTCAAAACTCCATAAATGTAGAGCAACTATTTCCTTGAGAAAAAAATTCATAAGAATCGCTCAATTTCAGGCATTCTAAATGTATTACCCCCCTTATCTCTATAAGAGGAATCAGCTCCATCGAAACTATACTTCGCGGCAGAGACTGTTTTGAAATTTATGTTATTTCATAACAGATTTCCCTAGTCCTTTCCCTAATGACGAAAATGCTCCGGCCGAACTGAGACTAGGCATCCCTAATAATGGACACCTATCTAGGACCTAGCGCGGCGCGCACAAGTACGCCCAACCACTAACTTACATCGTGTTTGGCTCTTTCCCTACAACGGCAGCTTATCGGGCCCCGAATTAGATGCTCTCTGGTACGCTATAATAACCTTAGTTCAGCTCAGATAGTTCCTTGTTGTAGTCACAGTTTTTGCATTAGGCCTCATCAATGTCCAGGAGAGAATTAGTGTGTGTTCATTTGCTATTAATATAATGGACCGTGAAAAATGTTATCCCGTCCAACGATGTGCCAAACTAGTAAATGATCTGGCAATATTCAGACATAACGATTAAACTCGTGCTTATTAAACACACGGTCCAATGGTAGAAGTGAACAATCAGGTTTAAGTTTTAATATTATACCGGGTGATTCACCGAACTTGACCACCTTAAATATTTCGGTAATTATCGACGTCACAAAAAAATATTTCATACAAAAGTTGTACGGTGCGAAGGGGGTCATCAAATGCGACCAATTTTTTTTATTTCGGTGGAGACGCTGATGCACAGTGAAGGTCACCTACATTTTTTTAAATGGTACAGTACAATTTTTTTTCAACCATCTTGTAGAGTATTGCAAACTGCATACAAAACATTCGGGGGTCAAAGTCGTTCAAGGTCATTCAAGGTCAGTATCGATGATACAAATCTAAATATCTCGGATCGGATTGGTAGTTTTAGACATTTAGTGTTTTCAAATTTATATTTTATTTCTGCTTTTCTGGAAGAAATATTAACTGTGCTGCTTGAAGATCTAACCTTGTGGGATCGACAAAACCTGTGGTATCAACATGATGGTTGTCCAGCTCATTTTGCACGGATAGCTCGCAATGTTAGCGACCGAAAATTTTGTAATAAACAGATTAGCCGAGGATCACGAATAGTCTGGCCTGCTAGATCACCGGACTTAAATCCACTCGATTTTTCTTTATCAGGGACATTGAAGATGACTACCAAATATTTGGTAGTGATCCGAGATATTTAGATTTGTATCATCGATACTGACCTTGAATGACCTTGAACGACGTTGACCCCCTAATCTTTTTTATCCGACTTGAGGTGCTCCACAAGATGGTTTAAAAAAAATGTACCATTCTATTTAAAAAAGTGACGGTGATCTTCACTGTGCATCAACGCCTCCACCGAAATAAAAAAAATTTGTCGCATTTGAAGGCCTTCTCCACACCGTACAACTTTTGGCTGGAACATTTTTTTGTGACGTCGATAATTACCGAGATATTTAAGGTGGTCAAATTAGGTGAAACACCCGGTACATAAATAATGTTAATTATCACCTCTAAAAGGAGTAATGAGTACCAATTGGGCTGATGGGTATTGTGTTACACTCCTTAATTTGAGCACCTCGAAAATCGCAGGTTCAAATTCCGCTCACGGCAGCACAGATGATAGTTATCCCCTATACACCTATTATTAAGATGTTATTTTTATCTTATAATTTGGCCATTAAGTCAATTATATATTTCATATTTTTATTTAATGAATATCAAAAGAGTTTAAACAAATTTCTGTATCAATCATACATGTCCACATGGGTAGTAAGGAACTGACCCGGCAAACTGTCCGTGACCTACACAGTCTGACTTAACTAGTGGTCCGACAGGGCATCCGTTACATTCCTCGGTGGAAGCTGGGTAGTTTTCCTAGTTAGCGCCTAGACAGAAGTAGGTAAAACTACCTTGTACCTGGTTAGGGCCCATATACACTACACACATTTTCACATATACACATACATAACCATATACACATTTCCACTAGGATTCTATCTTTAATACTTTTTTAAATTACCTAAGTGACGTTTGCCTGTCGTATTTTTGGAAAAAAATGTGTTATTTGAAATCATGCTGTTTTCAGCAGCCACCGAAAATAATGTCTCCGCCATCGTATGGGTGCTTATTTTATTTCTTATTTTTTTTCCTCTCAGTTTTGTTTTCTCTCAGAGTCCCTAGCTCAAATTTGGACATTGCTCCATGCCTATAACAGCCTTTTTTTTAACACCCGTGTTATGTCTCCCCATTTCTAGTCCGTTAATGTTCCGCTTCTTTGTTTTTTCACGAAAACCCTTAATATAGATACGCCACTTCGCAAGACGAGAGAGGTCTAAAGAAGTGCACCCTCATCCGCGCATGTATCGATTCTACGCGGCTCTTGGATAACAGTACAAAAAAAATGTATATCCCACGGCAACAAAAACAACGAAGTTTCTTGCTACGGAGAACGGTTAATATCGTGTTGGCAACTTTTCATGCGTGGCTTTCCGTGTAGTGAGCATTGAACCAGGCTTTTTTTATCTTTTGTGCTTTGTTCGCGACCGGTAGACGTAGATGTTTTGCGAATCTTGTCATATACGACTTTACTGTGAACATATGGTAGATTGGCATAATAAGCGAAAAGGGCGCAATTGAAAAGACCTTTGTTAATTTACTATGTATGTATGTATATGCTGTCGTGTGGGAAAAATTAAGGTGAAGATTTAATAATGAAGGGTCTTTTGTTTGAAATAGCCTAAATGTACACGGAATATTTCGTGTAGAAATTAGCTAGGGATCGTCCGATCTTGGAAATGGCCCCGTGCAGGTGAAATCATGGAAATTATGAATTTGTAAATCTAGTCCGGCACTAGTTAGGACACGAGTGGGTTGGTTATTCAGTTAAAATCATAGCTGTTCCTAAGAAAATCCTTGTAAGGGCCCTACCTGTCCTAATGCTAATATCTTGGAAGTTAACAATGATGGTCGAGGCTCGGTTTCTTGGATAGGGCCTGATCAGACGCAGTCGAAACATCCCCAGTAGTGTCGCTGTAAATGCAAGACTAGGACTGGCCCTAAGACTGTAAAAAATTAGTGGTGTCAAACGATTTCGTATGAATGTTTAAAAATTTCAATGTTAATAATAACATCATTAAGGATTCAAATTTACATTAATAATGGTGTTGAATTTTTTCTCTGTTATTCATTTCGAAATAACAATATTTAATATTTTGGGCTCTACCCGAATACCATTTAGTGCACAAAGCTCAGGTTATGTTATTCTTTTTTTTAATTTGGAAGTATGACTCCCTTGATGAAAAAATTAAACTGGCTAGTGCTCTAGTTCAACAGCTCCCTCTCCGAGCCCTTATTCAATTTCCACACAGAATATCCCTTCATTTTCGACATACATGAATTTACTTTCGTTTGCTTATGAATAAAAAAAATCTCAATTTCCTTTTACAGGATCGAATGACAACCTGAAGAATTGATTAGTCAAAGCACCATGAGGATCTTGCTGCTTCTGGTGGCTCTTGTCTTCGAGATGCATCTCTTTTTCACTGGTGAGTTATCATATAGCTTTTAAGGTTATCAACACCGTTGAATGACTTAACTTCATCATGTTCAATCTGACGAAATTTTGTATTTTAGTGTGTTAAAATCTTCTATTAACCAACGAAGAAAACAATCGATATGAGCAGAAGCATTTCCGTTCTTGAAACGTGGCAAGCTATTCACTCCAACGAACTTCGGTATTTGCTTACCAAATTGTTAACGTACTCCAGTAGAAAACACTTAAGTCGCTTAGAGCTGTCAACCAATTTCTGATATCGTGTTTCCTGAAATCACATCTACTTTCATCTCGTTAACGCGAGCCGAACCTTTCAGCGATTCCCTATTATCTCGAGATCGTGTGACGAGTCTGCGTGTACGAATATTCTCCATATTGGTATTTTATATTATATTCGTCCTCGGATATCACAAAATTTTGTAAAAATATTCCTCGATAGAGGGTTTAAAATTTTCTCTCCGGAAAAACGACCGGAGTACAATCGTATGGAATAATTATTCGAGTAAACGTCACTGCCGAGAACCGTACTAAATTTATATAGATTGAGTATATTTTGATATAGGTACGTGCATGCGCACGAATAGTCTATGCAAGAATCGGTAGCTACTAGAAATTACGTTATACGATAGATATGTCCAATTAGAATAATGCTAAAGGGCATATGATCTAGAATACTCATAATAGAAATGATTCATTTAATTTTAAAACAATCAATCAAGTATTTATAAATTTGCTTAACACTCTAGTGAGACGAATAATATTTGATCGAGATCAAAGACGTATACGGAAAACTATTCTGAAATGTTTTTGATACTTTAAAATTTGTACTGGGAATAAATCCAATATAAGATTTGCCGACGGTGGAAAAACTACCCAGATTCATGAAGGTACCGATGGCCAATAATATTGTATTATGTAACAACTATCCTTTAGTGGCAATTATCAGGCAACACGGCACTTCGGGCGGAGGCTCGGTCAGCTCTAGACTAGCATTGGCCAGTCTTGATCATGCGGTGGTCGAGGATAGACCAGACGTACCGTATTTCCTGGGTCACTGTAGGATAGCAGTGTGAGAATCTTAAATTTTTTATATCAAATCGCTATAGACTGCCCAGATATTCGTACAGAAAATAAAGGTGTGTATTTACAGATTTATACATCTCTATTATTGTTTCTTTTAAATTAAAGGTACCAATACCAAATTAATTATCAATATTGAGGTCTGGTTCTTTTTGGTCATCAGTTGTTCGTAATTTAACTAAAAGGCGACTATAAGGACGAGCTCGATTAGGTCTAATTAGCTAAAAGCTTGTCAAATATTGTTGCCAAGTGCTAAAAAACAGTTGAAAAGATTTCCTTGCTTCTAACGTCATCGCTCCGTGTACGTGTGTAGATGTAGAATAGTTGAGTAGCAATCAAATTTTATAGGATGGGGAACTGTTTGAATTGTTAAATTCAATTGTCGAAAGCAGATTTGAAGAGCTTCTTGGCAAAATGAAACTCGCTGGCCACACTCAACAGCTGCGAACACTGCTTGACAAGCTGTTAGTTCATCTGGTTTGCCAATACTCGCTCTCAATGTATGGTATTTAATAAAATGACAAATTAGGTTCCACACCGATCATTTTCCATAAAAAAAAATGTATTTTCTTTTTTTTTTACTGACGGGAAGATTTAACCCGAATCCGGGGAAAACAATTAAGACGGTTGTTGTCCTAAAATCGTGTTTTAGTTTTTTTTTACTCCGTTTTTTAGCTGATTTCATCCTCTTCTTTGAAAATGTACATTGTACCGTTTTTGTCTCAATACTGGATTTTTTATCTGTTTTTATCTGCTTCATTCCTGGAATAATATTCCGTTGGGGTAGAACAAGATCAGCTTAAAATTTCAACTTAGAAATTTTTTAAAATATTATACAAACATGTTCATTGAAAAAATTCTTAATTAATAAATGAAGCTATTATCATTATTATTATTACCAACCAAAACCAAATCAAAGTTTTAAATAATATAGGACAAAAAGAGAAATATTATAGGATAAATTTAGTATATTTAATGAAGGACAAAAATCTTCTAACATTTTTGACCCGGGATTGTATACAGAAGGACATAAGACTACATAATACTACCTAGTGATTTTAACAACGATCTCCATTCATTGGAGGACTTTCTTGAGGTGTTCATTGATTGATGGATATGTACCCCCCCTGCTTAGAAATAAAAAATTTTAAGAGCTGTTATCTGGACGAGAGCAATGCCCATAGGCGAGCGATTGGGTCAAAAAGGTTCGAACTATTAACGGACCGAATGAAATTCAGTGATCAGTATTCTATAAATGATATTCTTATATCCTTATTTAGAACTACGTTCGTAATCTAAATGAATGCCAAGACCTTATTGGTGTAATTTCTATACCTAACAGAACAAATCGATGATGATATACGTAATATCTCATTTATTTTCTTTCACATTTATCGATAGACATAAGAGTTTTTTTTTGTTGTAATTTCCTTACAAATACTGCTAATAAGGGAACAAGAACCATTTTATGTTGTATTCTTAAATTGTACCCCCCCCCGCCCCACACAAGAAAGTCATATATTTAATAAATATATTTTTTATTATATTTCACAGATATGACTTTTTCGTCATATATTTTTTTTCGTTTTGTAGTTTATCCACTTTATATATAAAATATTACTCTGTTGTCCAAGACGTTCTGTGCCGTAATCCGGAGAGATTTCGGCGGACGTGCTGATGAATTCCTGACGCTACTAATTAAAGAAGGCAGGTGTTTCAATAAGAATAAACTCAAGTAACTTGAACGTAAAAATTAAATATATTGACTATTGATACAACATGGTGAAAAGAGCAAGGGTACGTGTTCTCGGTTCAGAGCACGACTGGTTCTTCTGTCTTAAACAATAAGGGAAGGGAGTCTGAATATGGATGGGAAACAAAGTAAAGGACTGGAGATGGAGACGCATGAATTACCCTGCTTAAAGAATACGATAGAAAACGATTTTTAAAAAATCCTATCTAATCCAATCGTGTTTTTGGTTCGTAAAATTTAGATTCGTTATCTAATATTTCCTATACAATTTCTATTGTATTATATAAAAAGAAGCACATCAATTGTTTATCGTTTTTAATAGGTTTATTATTGCATATTATATAGGATGACTTTATGCATGACACGATAAATGGATCGCTAGTTAACTGTACTTAGAATGCATTGTACATAAATTCTCAACCAAAAGATTGATTTCATTGAGTATCTTGCAAAAAGGGAAAAATTTGACAAAAATCAGCGTCTTGGAGATTTAAGAATACCTTTTTTATCGGAAAAATTAGAGATTTCATTTCATATGAAAGTTTTCTATCGAATATGTAAAATCATTTTTTAAATTCATTTATTAGTAACTTTTTGGCATTATTATTAAAGATAAACATTCTTCCTATCTTCCAAGACGTTGATTTTTTTCAGTTTTTATTCTCGTGTCGAAGCACTCAAATTCGAATCAAATCAGATTCTTGATGGGAAATGTACGTGCAATGCATCCTTAAATTCATGATAACTGTTGGGAAAACCATTTGTTAATAAGCCATATAAGAAGGTTATCGTGTATTTCATATTCTTCCCTAATAAGTTGGTGACGATAGAAAACGATTCGATTCCAATCACGCATTTTCATATTAATACATATAAAAATATGATTCATATAGAATAGAATCATATAGCATAACATACGTAATAGAACGTGAATGTCATGTTACCATAGATAGACGTACTGCTTATATGAAAATACATATAGGTTGTGACGTGGCATTTCGACATGCACGCCACAAAATGTAACATTCTGCGATTTCCGGCTACATCGTGGGGCCCTATGCGTGAGAAAGGGATTTCGTGGCGTTGGACTGTATATTGTTTGTTGAATTTGTATTCATTTCCCTCGTGGGAACGTTTTTTTTGTGTTTTATATTTTTCAAGCGGATCCGGAAGGATCTTGTCAAAATTTGAATACCGCGGGCCCCGAGAGTGCCAACCACGGGCCTGGTGGAGCGCGCTGGCGAGGCGTCGCGACAGCCAGACCGGAGTACACACCCTAAGATGCCAGCTACGCGGAACATTCGGCGAGCGTCTCCCCGATCCAGAGGGCATACGGAAGTTGCAGTAACGGCCTGGCGCCGTCCATCGAGGGAGCAGAGGTGGATGTGATTCCCACCTCCCGAAAATATCACTGCAGCCATCCCAAACACGAAAGATGCCAGGATCTACTTTATCGGAATCGAAGAAAACAATTGAAGATCGCGAGCGCTCTGGCGAAGTCGATGGGTCCGCCAATCAGCTTGGCCTAAGGGATGTATTACAACGCGCCTCTTGGGAAGGTTCCCGATTTTCGAAATTCTTAGCGTCACTCACGGTGTGGCCGAGCCTAGGAACAGACGTGTTTTCGTCTGATAAACTTTGTATAGTCTCGTATTGTTTTGTTTTAGTTTTGTCGGATTTTTTTTATAGTATTGTATAGTCTACCGTGCCCTTTTGCGACAGCTTGAGGAACCCAGTATCAAAGAGATTGTGTCTTGGGGATATCTGGAGCGACTAGGAGGGCGGTGAGTGACGCTTTTGTGAGTTGACCATATTTACGTGAATGAGAGATAGACCGTGACGCATGGTCGTGCCTTACGTATTCCCGATCATTATTGTATCCGCGGATTGCTCATCGGTGGCGCTCTGGAGGATCGGTGCTATTTAATATCGTTTATGGGTCAAATGTTGGTTTTGCGTTACCGCCGATACAGTCCACGTCTCGCGGAGTCATTTCCTTAGCGCAAGGGTATCGCGAGTCCGTTAGCACTCGTTAACGTTAAATTCTGTATAATATCCTTTGACTTGTATATTCTGTGGGGAATGGGGTATAGCGTGTACTTCCGTATAGTATGGAGTGCGATGCATATTTTTGTAGAATATTAAGGTCCTGTAAATTTCTAGATATTAGTTTGCCAATAGGTCTTCGGGACCGACAGCTTAAATAATTCCCTTGGGGGATCTACGGTCCCGTTCTGCGTAAAGCGTGTATATTCTGTATAGGAACCGTTGTTCCATTTCTTTCCCTTGTGTATTTTGTTCAGGAACTGTTGTTCCATTTCTTTTTCTTATTGTGTTGAATAAATCGGGCCAGATTGTGGTTCCGTATTTAATTGCGAAAACTTTATTGGTTATTCGTTGTAGCTTTTGAGAGTGAACCTCCCTAGATTTCAGATTGCGTTTATTGTCTCCCAGACCCAGGACCCCACCGCATAAGAGCTGGCCAGGGTGTCCTTAGGAGACAGCGGTGTAACTCTGGTTATACCTGGCGTCCAATAATTTAGTATTTTATTATTTCTCGCGGTGCCATTTATTTGTGCGTCACCGTTAAAAAGTGTCGTCATAAGGTATAGACTAAATTTCTATCGTATTATTACGATAAAGCAATAACCTTATAGGTTCAGATTACATTAGACAGAAACTCTATCATCACTTCAACTTGATGTAGATAGGATTGATAGAAAACGATTGAAATCGGCAATTAGTTTTATCGTTTCTTATCGAATTCTATCGTAATTTTTAAGCAGGGTAGTGAGTGCTAATTGTGGAATTCAGGAAAGTGGATATAGCGCACATGGGAAAGGGTCTTGCGATGGGAGTACCTGCAGATCGTCCATGTGCTGAATTTCAGGAATTGACTCTCCAAGTATCTAAGGGACGACCGCCATAGGGAACGGGGAGACAGTGTGAAAGGAATAGCCGCAGGAGAGCCTGCGATGTAACATCTGTGGTAACTTGTTTCTTATGATGGCTGCTTTTTCAAAATTCTAAGCTCAATATTTTTGATAGTTGTTGCACTAATACTTTCTTTCAGACTTTGAATATCATTTAATTTAAGTTTTTCAGAAGCAATACCAATATTTTGGCGTATTATAGATATATGTCTCAATATTGAAACAAAATTATTTATTACCCTTCGAAACACCGATATTAGATATATTTGAATATCAGCATCCATTCGGTTACCAATATCGAGAATCTGTTTGAGCAAAGTCCATCTGCTGCTAATATCATGATTTAGTTGTCCTTTCGGCAGCTCATCAATAGTCTATAGACGGACGAATGAATCTATTTTGAATTTGGATCTTTGAATTCCTTATTGGATTTCTCGAACTCCATTTGCTTTCTTTATATACATCGAATATATATTCTATTTTAGATATATCTATACGTCCCGTGTTCTCATGCATATTTATCGGTATATTCACTCAAATCAATCGAACTATCGATCGCATAGTGTTTATTCAGTATACCCAGTACTATACTAAACATTCGTCAATATATCCTTCAGATAATCCACCAGGATAGTATATGTATATATAGGTATATACATACATTGGAAGGGGATCCTATGTGAGCATGTTGCGTAGGAGATGCTATTGTTACCCTTAGCCTATACGCTGTTGGGCTTTTGTAAATTCAGTCTGTAACTTGTTCCTATACCGAGCGACTTTGAATAGTTCCATGAGACCAAATCGGAATTAGTCTGTATTGGTAGCAGCACACGTATCTCGCTGGATTCATCAATTCCGTCAGTGAATATTCCTATAATTTCTTTTTATATCTTCACTCATCCCTATTGTAGGGATAGAAATATGGCGAGTATTGGGATGCATAAGTATCGCTAAGCAGGTTATGTTTATATCTGCGGACGTACGCGATGGGGGATAAGCAGACGAAGTGAACGTCACGTACAGAAAAAGGCACTAAGTGTCAAGCTGAATGCGATACACGTATAACGGTACGCAGCTGAGTGCGGACACTCTTCATGTAATTGCGTTAATAAAGGTCTTTCGTTCACACTATCACTTCGGAAGTTCCTCGCTCTCTGATCAAAATAAAATAAATTAATGATTAATAACGGCTCTAATAATCAGGATTCGCGAATGCAAAATGCATATAATTCAGCCTCGGAGACGCAATTATAAATTCTTATTAATTTTTCTCTCTTCCCAGAGCCGATATATTTTCGAGTGTCGATAAAATTTTTATTTAACATTCATTTCTGCAGGGGTATGCAGTCGCGCATTTGTTAATATTCCAGAAATACACTGAAAAATTTGCAATAATCGTCTCTGACGTACTATTCGACATACTGATAGCTAATCAGATTTCAGCAGCACGATTAACCAAATGCTCCGATTCATATGTGAATACCTATTCCCGAGCACACGTGCATATTATAGTGCAGTCTATTTGAATTGCACTTCCGCTGCGAGCATGCAATGCACTTTGCGTCATTGGTACTCGTTGTCTGCAGTAACAGCGGTTACAATTGTCTCATTTTTCCGTTCTGTGACGTTATTCTCCCTGTATAGCATACATACATATACTCTCCACATACCTATAGCTGCCACATCGTGAGTTTTCATGGGCTTACACCTATGAGAGTAACATCTTTTCTAGGATCTTGTTGATCTTTGATATTTCTTCTTGTCCTATTTATTTCACATTTCTATTGGATCAATTTTCAACATGTGTTGAGTTCAATAGTATTCACTTCAATTTTCTTTTCTTTTTTTTCTTTTTATAAATATGTTTTATCAGTCTTGTGTCTACTACTTTATTTCGTTCTTTGAACGAATGGCGCAATGCATTCGGTATGCTTGAAAGATGCACGGTAAATATCATAATGGGTCATCAATATATATATATTTTTCGAGTTAATTATCCCTGGACCGATACATCTAAATTAAATAAACTCTGCCGGTTTCTAGACTTTTTGGGAATTCTAATATCATCTTGGTGCTAAAGAACATGACGTTCTTCATAGGCATAGGTTTTACAATTTAATAATTTAAATTAAATAGCGCGGCTTGAAAAATAAATAACTTAAGGTACAGTACAATGATTTATTCAATACTCATACAAATTTTATACTTTATAGATACATCTATCAAATACAATCGTATTTGACAAATATATCGTGTGCACTATAAAGTTTATTTTTAACCACTCAAAATATTGTATGTTATAAGCAATATGTAATGAAACGGTAATGATGTCCCACGGTTACTGGTTTCTACGATAAATTTTATCTTCAATTTCATAGGAAAAATTAACGGAAAATTCTCTTCGTGTAGACTATACCATTTCGGTGAAAAATATAAATTGTATAGATATATACGCTGTTTAGCGTCTACTATAGAAAATATCAGTCCTTATACCCAGCAATTAGTTGTTCATCAGGTTATCCCTATAGTCAGATTTATTTTACGTGGCGATAGCATAAAATTCCAAATATTTAATTTATAATGTGTATGAATGGTATTCCATAACCTTTGTTATATATGTAAAATAAGAAAGGGCGCGATGCAAAATTTACTATATAATTAAACAGAAAGTATTTTATTACGGGCTTATATCGTTCACTATTTGATTTCCTGGCGCGAAGTTCCGTTGTTCGACACTATTAGCGAAAAAAAGGGGCGATAACCTATTTATCCGCATTGTTGTGTCGTTTTGCGAGTCAAGATGGGAAATGATTGGAGAGAGTACCATCGGTGGATATACGGATAAATTAAGTGATTATCTATAACATTTTACTTGATCGATAAATGTACGTTACAATAGTTATTCATCGTGGAATACAATAGGAATTTTTTCGCTACTGCCTCTTTCATCCTTGCCCTGACACACATAAAATAAAATGGCACAGAGCATTTGTTCCCGCTGGTTTCTAGTTTCGATGCAAACGAGTCAGGTGTAACGAAGCACGATAGTGAAAATTGTAAATAAAACTAAGTAGAAACAAAATTGACGTTTGACATCATAAATGCACCTGCAAAAAATCATGACTACCGTAACCCGTCATATCGTGGCAATGTCCAGCTCATAATGAAATCAATCAGTTCCAATGTCAAAGGGTTCCTTGTCGTCGTAAAAGGTGTCAGCGTTTCGTCCCGAGACGCCGGCTAAGTTCAGGCGTAAATGTTCCATAAGGGGTTAAACTTAACATGACCAGACCCTTGTAATTGCCGAGACTAAGTTATTCACTTAAGTATGTAGGCATGCCAAGTTATACATTATTGCCGCAATGGTGGTCGCATTAATTTAGAAACGGCTAACCCAGGTTTAAGAGGGCGAGCTATAAGCCATAGCATGCAACGTGAAAATTGTCCGAAACTCTAATCGCAGTCACTTATGCGTTAACGACCCTCAAGGTTACCGGAAGGGGTTGAACGGGTTGTTTAGTCCATTTTCCGATTATCGATGACCCTAACGCCGTAGTCATGCTTCGGAAGCAAATCTCTATTTTTATTTTGCCTACAGCCTTTTTACCATTGCTACTAGTAAGTCATGATCGTTCTTATCGAGATTGCGACATACTTTAATATTAAAAATAATAATACAATAGGTCGTGACTTATTCGACTAATAAGTAGATACACAATAGTGTACTTTCCTAAAATGAAATTCGACTTTCATTTCTGAAAATGAACATTTCGCGAAATCCGTTTGGCGAAAATAAAAATTATTGTTACGTAAAAAGAGGACTATGTATATATATGTATATCGAATAACACGTACTTAACAGGAGCTTCTTGATCCTTCTTGCGAAGCTGTTGTGTCGATATTATTGACTTGATTTTTCTTTTTACTTTTATTTAACAGAGAGCCAGGCCAGACATCAACAAGACTCCAGCAGCAATAACTTGCCCGCACCGGCAAATGAGCCGAATGAAGAAAATGAAGAGCTTTTGGACGGACCAATTAGGGAGGTTTTGGCTCAAACAGGAGGTACAGCTACTCTTCCGTGCAAGCTCTCGGATCCAGGCGCTGCCCCTGTAAGTATAGTCAAGCATATTGTTGAATCTCCAATTTTTGCCAAACATCACATACCATTTCGATTATCAATGCGTATATATGCTTTATTATTATTCAACATACGTCTAACGTTCCCATTGCGATGATGTCTATCCATTTTGACGAAAGAGGCAAAAAGTAGGAAGAGAGCAGAGAAGCAAATCCGTAGAAAAAAAGAGGCTATTCGCAGTAGACATTACGAAAGTTCTTCACTGCTTACGAACGCATGAATTCTTCTCTGAACCTTTTAATACTAAAGTTGGTTATTCGGGTCTCTCTGAGGATGGAGCACAGGGTCCGTTCCAGCATTATGGATTTTTCTTCTGCGCCCTCATCCAATTTTCATTTGCTTCAGCTGATTCATGTACTATACGCCTTCCCTGCGATTTTCATTATATTTATACATTTTTTTTTGTTTCTTTGCTACGGATGTCTTTGATATTATTCAATAACTCGGGGACTCTTTGAATTTTTAGAAACTGCCCCCTCTTAATCAATCTGCTTATTATTTGACACTTAACCTTCCAGTCTGATAGACACTCGATAGGCATATATTTCTTACGACAAGAAAAAGGACGTCTCGATCGAAGGGTTAATCGACTCTGCGATACCGCGTGCCTAATATTTGACGAAGGAAGCGCTTTGAAAACCGATGGTTAAATTTGATGAAAGTCACTGAGATACTTTTTCTGCTTTATTAAATTTTTTTTTTACATAACTCTTGACGTAAATTTTATTGAACATCTCCCAATGAAAATCGAGATGGTTGAGCATAACACGTCCAATTCGCGTATATACCATAGAGCCATATGAGTAGCAGACCTAGCTAACTAGCTAACCGTTAATTGATCTTGCGAATTGTTACACGAACAACTTTGTTCTACAAATGGTTGGAATAATGCCGAGTGAGTAATATTCCTTCATTAGTCTTCTCTGAGGGCAATTCGTGGCAGCTGCATGCACGGTTTAATACCCCACCTTAATGAATGTTTCAAGGAAATGTCCTCCCCATCAGACAACTAGAAGCTATACAATAAATCTAACGAAGTGAATTGACTAATCATATCACGAGATAACTAATTGAGATTTGATTTAATGGAATTTAAATTTCATGAATGACATTGAAGTAATTATTTTGATAGGCAGGGATTTTACAACAATTTTCTTATGTACGTCTGTCGTAAAAATGGTTTTTTCTTACACACACACACACACACGCACACAGCAGAGAAAAATAAAAGCACACATATTTAATGCAATTTAAAGAGTTTTCTAGATTGCTCACAGTGTTCCAAGATTGCATGTAGTGATCAAGTGTGCCATCATGAATGTGATAGAATGGTCTCCATAAATACTAAAAGACCGACATTCCGGTTTGCCTCTTCATCAAGAGACTCGCTCGAGCCCTGCTTCAGGTATACATTAATTTCACTAGCATGTGTATGCGTGAAATGTCCATGCATATTCGTGAAGTCGGTCGATCGAGCATTCGTAGCTAACATAAAGAAATTTCGTTATAATGAGATCCCATGTTTTATACGTATAGACTATTCAGTTCCATATTCATATTATACGTAAGACAGAACTTAATGCAGTACGTACAATACGTACATTTCATTTTGTATTTTTGTATATAATAAAAGAAAAAATACAGACCTCAAAGAATATATTATATATTTAGTCCAAGGACTAGAACCCGGCGAAAAAGGACGCCTTATCTTAAGTGATAATTACATATCCGAGGGACTCTTTTACGTTAAAACCCATAAGGCTGTGACCCTTCGAAACTACGGTGATGTCATAACCAAATTATGCTTCAATAAATATAACTATAAATCATAAACAAACGACAGCGTATCTGTGTAAAGTTGCAATTAATGGTTATATGAATAATTACTTATTTTTATCGAGGAACTATTTAAACGAGTTCGAAAGCATTCTTTTAAGATTTGTAAATCTACAGACTTTAGGATTACGTACGTGGCTGCCAGGACGGCGAAGGTAGGTAGAAGCGCCATACACGCGACCGTAGCACGTTAGACTCAACTGCGTCAGGAAATTTTCGGGGATCGCCATTCCGGTGTTCCATACAAAGTTGGGGTGGCTGCAACGAGCTGTACAACCTGGAAAAATAAAGCGGATCCGATTTTCGTCTTTTACTGTTATCTCCATAAAATTCCGAATTTGGGGACTACAATATTTGACCTAACATGGGCTTGGGACCACTGAAGAAAATTTAGCCAATTCGAAATGGATGCAGATCGGATTGGGCGGTAAGGAAAAAAAAAGTGAGCGCGACGTGAAACGTCGGTTCGATTTTCGGGATTCCATCCATGGGACGCTATACCCGTCACTCACGATATAACCAAGTTCAGAGATTGCCACATTCCAAGTTTTAAATTTCTCGTAGTATCCATTACCGTTTGAAATGAATTAAATCCAGAATTGTATTTTGACAAAAAATTCCTCTTTTACTATTACAACAAATTTTACTTTTTAATGCTACCATAAGATTCAGTCAGCTTAAGTCTAACAGGAGTAGAGAGAGCATTGTACGAGAGAAAATAACGATTTTCCGCTGTACATTGTTTCTTATTATTGGATCCGTACACGACGGCAGAGCGGCGGAATCTTGAGTACCGCGTTTTGAAGTTTACAACAAGATAGTCTATTGCGGCATAACACTATGTTCTATAAGTATATTATACTATGCAAAACTGACGTTCTAATGCTTATTATATGATTTTAGCTATTTATATTATTATCATTAAATCATTATAAATGTTAAATTATGTAAAATACACCGCGATAAATGATAAAGCAATAATGCATTACTGATACTTGAAACATACGAAATGCTTGGTTTTTTTGCAAACAATAGTCATAGTACCCAAGCAGCAATGAATATCTCAAAATAGTCGCAAATATTCAAATAAGGTTATAACGAATTCTAGATGCATTTGACCTCATGGTAACCGATTGTCAACATTTGTAAACTTTTAACATGCTTTTCGAACCATCGGTTAAGTTAGACGTTTCAGCATTGGGTTGAAAACTAGGCGGACATTTAAAAATATTTATAGGTCATACAGCATACATGAAGTGTACTCTTTCTATATCAAAAATTTTTAGACACATTCTTGACATCCTAACACCCGTTGGGAACTGCTACTAAACTTATTATTTATCGTATTTTTATCTAATATAAGAATCGTTTTATTAAATAGAGGAAGTCGAATAATTTATACTTACACATCGTGTATAATATAATATACTATAACCCGGCGAATGGGTTATTTTCAAGAGACCATCCGGAAAAAATGGCCAAACATCAAATGTCAAATACAAACAAGGTCAAGGTTCAAACGTCAAGACTTGACATGTTGTATAGATTTTCTTGCGGATATATGTAACATTACTGTAACGTTTACGGGTGTAAAATTACTACTTGGTTTGCTACTTGGATAGTATATCGCACCAATAGTAATGTATACAATATATCACTACCTAGTGTAATGTACTATACTGTAGCAGTAACTAAGTGATAGAAGACAGAGAATAGTAAGGCTTTGTATACCAACTGCTACGTGGTACTTCTATGCTAGAATGAATCTCATACTATAATAATTAATTATAATTTCATATTATAATCAATCAAACTGTGATCACATGAATCACATTTTTCTACATTTATCTGTTGTCTCTTATATTGTCACCGGTAATATCATAAAAGAGATTCAGTCCCTCCAGAATATTTGTTCACTTTATCGATTTACATAAGATGAAAGTCATAACCACAGACTATTTTTATTGAGTGCTTAATATATTAAATAAATAAAAAATATAACCTTATTGCATAGTTAATTATAGAATAATTATAGCAATACTGTAGTGTATATCGCGTATTTAATTATATTTAATGCCTCGTTCTCAAAATTGCATGTGTAATTACCCTTTTAGTCGCTAGATATCACAACGTATAGAGTGCATTCAAATTAATTGTTGCCCCTCGTTTATACCGTTGCGCCATCGTCTCATGTTCTTTCGTTGTGCGCCTGACTACCTAACACATGCGAGTGACTTTGAAAAAAAGTAGGGTATTGTTTTTAAGAAATAGTAAATAGGTGATAATGTCAAAGCGAAAAAGAGAAACAGATGAAATTATAGAAATAATGCAGAACAAGATAAAGGAAATGCAAGATCAACTAGGAACGTTACAAGGAAATCAATTAAAGAACGGTAATGAAGAATCGGTATCGAGTGGTGATAAAGGATCAAGAGAAAATTTTAACGGATCTGTGATAGAGGAAAGTAAGAATTATAGATGAGATTCCTATAAGAGCTTGTATCGTGAGACAAGACAATTAGAAAAAATTTAATGAGTTTCTACGAGAGGCAAAAGAAATTTAAAAAAAATCAAAATGAAATAGTTATTATTGGGTAGTGAAAAAATATGTTTTTTTTTTGTGTTATTAAATAGATATTGCAGGAAAAGAAAATACGCTACTTACTAATGATTAGGTAGTGAAAAACAATACCGTTACGGAACAAGATAAGGAAAGAAATGCGGAAGAGATAGAAGAAAACATGTTAAATTAAAAAGTTCTTTAAGTCTTGGATGAGATAACCCTTTGGCATCAAAGGCATTGCAAATAAAGCTGCATTCTTCGCTGAATAAACATTGAAAGTACTGGATCAAAAATGGTATTCCTAGTTTAGAAAAAGAAGAAATATTAAGTAAATATGCAAGATACTAGCGATATGATGTCTCTCGACTAAATCAAGAAATTGCGTTTACAATAAACGTATCAGCGTTAAAAAGAATCAAGGTTATGGTGAAGATACAGCAGTCGACTGGATCAGCATTAATGTCTTTTGGTGAAGCTATGTCAAGCATACTTTACGAGGTACAGGATATTGCTAAAATAACTTTTCTGGAAAGGTTAAGTGATGCTGCCAAATTGATAACTGATATTATATTTATACAGACCAGGACGAGAGAAGCATTTATTTTACCAGATGTCACGAAACAAATTAAAGATTTGTTGGGAAATACAAAAACATATACCTTGCTATTTGAAAATGATTTAACTGAAATAATAAAAGAGACAAGAACAATGGAAAAAATAAGTCAAAACATAAAGAATCAAGAGGCAACAAAGGATTTGCAGCTGGCAAGGCAGAATTAAAACTTCCGGCCCCACAGGGCAAGAGGCCATTCTCCAATCACGTGAGCAACTCAAATGCAAGACTGCAGGGCAGGGAAATAAATAGAAGTAAAAGAGGATGCAGGTATTATAGGGGGTAGGTTAAAATATTTTGTAGAAACGTGCAGAAAATTACAAGTGATCAATGTGTGACAAGGTGTATTGAGGGATATAGAATACAGTTTGAGAATACAGTTTGAGTCAGAACAGCAGAAAGTGCCAAAGATGATTGTTCCAGAGTCAGAGTTAGAGAACTATAAAGTAAAAAGGTTATTGAAAACAGAGACAATTGAGCATAGTTTACCTAGAAAAATACAGTTTTTGTCATCATACTTTTTAGTTCCAAAACTGGATGGAATATTTCGATTTAATTTGAATCTAAAAAAATTTGAATCACTCAATTAAACCAAGTCATTTTGAAATGGAAGATAGGTATACATACGGCAAAACGATTAGTTTTCCCTGGATATGTTATGGGATTAATAGATTTGCAGGATGCATACTATTTAGTTCTAATAGGTAAAAAGAGTAAGAAAGATCTGAAGTCTGGGTTTCTAGGGAAGCTATATCGGTTTAATTGTTGATCATTTGATTTGTGTGCAAGTCTTGGGGTGTATACAAAAATCATAAAACCAGTGATGAGAATATTGACGGAAAGAGGTTTTGCATTTGTCAACTATTTAAATAATGTTTTATATATTGAGAGAAGTGTTAAAACATGTGAAGAAAATATAAATGAAATAATGCAATTCCTGAAATCATTAGGTTTTTTTTTTATAAATATGCAAAAAGTTACTTAAAATCAAAAAACAGATGTAAATTCCAGGGAGTTATAACGGGAGATTTTCAATTGGTAATTTACACAGATGCTTCAGACACAGGTTGGGAAACAGTAGAAGGAAAGAATAATGTCCACGGATTTTGGAATCAAAGTCAGATAAAATAGCACATAAATAATAAAGAACTTTATTTAAAAAAAGGTATAGGAAAATTACCAAGTAATTTAAGGAATTATCAGGTTTTACTAAGAATTGATAATAGAACTGCGATTGCATATATTGCATTGAAATAAAGTGGGTGAAATCAAATATTATCAGTATAATGCATTAACAAGAGAAATTTGGCAGTGGATTGAAGAAAGGAATATATTTTTTTTGCATCGTTCGTAAAACTCTCTATAATCCAAAGTATAAATCGCATAGAAAAGATTTTCATACCATTTAATATATATAAAATAAATTGCGTAAATAGTACAAATTGCTGAGTCTTCAAACAACTACACATGTAATATTGAGAACGAGGTTCGAAATATAATTATTATGATCGAACTTCACTCCAAGTTCGTTTGATCGTTTAATTTCTAAATCAGTTGTTCGAGAGTAACACGAAAATAGTTGAAATACAGAAATACTCATGAAGTATTGAAACTCAGTCAATTACCATCAGTTCAAAAATTTCTCATTCTTTGTTCTGCACGATTTGATGATTCCATAAGAACAATTTAGCAAATTGCGTCGGCTTCTTGACGAAGTCGAAAATCCGATTTTTATACGTCTACACTCAACGAGCTTATTCAAATGCCTACTGACTTATTTGTTATGGTATTTCAAGATTTATTCTGATTATTATACGGATGAAAAAAAAAGTATGACCTTCACCGTAGAAATACACACGGCGAAATCGAGATGGCTGCTGCGCTATTCGTCGAACAGTTGTATCGCAGTCGACACATCCAACCAAACTTGACGCTTCAATTGATTCACATTTTGAAGGGCACGTATTCTAGGAAGCTCTTTGCTTGCAGGCTGGCGAATCTTTTCGAATATTTTATATATATTCCGTGGAAACTTTATGCTGATACCACGAATGCGACTGGATTTTGAAAAAGGAATAACTTGTTTGCGTACCCGCCTGACGTTCAAGAAATGTAGTAGGCACGCTGTTCATTCTGATATTTCAATGTATTCGAATCTATACTTCTCACCGGTTTGGATTTCATGATTTTTATGATAAAGAGGTCGAGAAATTTCGACGAAATTATTCCAATTAAAGCTTCACTGAAGCTTCTTTCATATACTTGAATACAGACTTGAATTTTCGTGTTTTCATTCAATAGCATTTTGGGACATAAGAATGTAATACAACAATAAAACATACAATAGACAATGTACTGAAAAAATTGCTGGAAATACTAGCAAGGATACAATACCAAGCCAAAAATGCCATTTATGATGGCGTTTACCTCTAACTACATTATAAGAATAGTACGAAATCTGCTAAGTAGAACTGTCTTTTTTCTTAATTCTTTCCAGTTTAGAATCTTTGATTTATTAATTTTTTCATTTCATTCAATCACTTACAGTAAACTAAAACCTATTATGAATAATTCTAAATGGGAAATATTCTTTAAAAAACAATTCTGACTGGTACGTACTTTGCATTGACCTTTATTTTCGCAAAGCGATTGGTCATTCTACCGATTCAAGATTTTCATTCTCCACATTTGCCATTGCATCAAAGAATAGTCATATAAAAAAATTTCTTTAATTTCGATTGTGGTACTTTTCTGGTTCACGTGAAATTCTCTAATGTCTTGCAGAATGAGTCAGATGAAAAGAACAAATGTGAATCGCGATGCCCTGTTTTATTTCTAGCAATCCAAAACCGGCTGTGATCCATCTTTACTATACTTATTGTATATAAATTACATCTAAATTATATTTTGTTGTATTTTTACACCTAAAATCTTTCGTACATAATCTATAATATACATATACTATTTTTTCACATGTAAAATGATAATTACTACCATTTTTGATGATTTTACTGACTCACAATTGTTATATGGTACTTTCAATTTTTACTTTTATTAATAATTATAAAGGAATTGCAATATTGGGATATTTAAAGAAAACTAATGCATTTGACAAAACATTGATGATTAAACGGATTAATTATTATTGGATTCATGGAAGCATGGAGTGCAAGTGGGATAAGTCAAGCCTTTGGAAATGTGAGAGATTGCTTACTATGCTCAATTAATGTTCTACCCGCGATTCAATTAATTGGAAGTTTACAGATGATGCTATAAATTCCCTATATGAGATAAATCTGGGGAATATCGAGGAGCTTTCACTGACAGAATCCTACCGTAACATTCACGATACTGCAAGCCGTATCAGAGCATGTCTTTAGCTCTAAACATACTATCTTTGTCCACGATCGAATATCATTTACGTCATACAGCGGCCTCGCCCAAAGAGTCAACGACGCGAAGTAATCCTACGGTTGGAAAAGGGAGGTTAATCTTTATCCAGAAGCCTGACTAAAAAAATGAAAGGATAAGAAGACAGGAGAGGGACAGAAAAAATGTTAAAAGAAAGCATTCGGTAGATCGAACAATCCACTTAACTAAAGAACACTTCGTATTCCTTTGTTTCATTTTACGTATTACATCCTGTATACCTATATTCATAGCTATACAGAAACTCCACGTGGCCGAAGGCGCGCGGAATCGTAATGGCAATTGATGGCCGCCGGCTTTAACCCAGGATTCCTACAGAAACTCTTGAATCTCTTAAAGCCCATCGTAAACATCTCATGCGCTGTTTTTTTTCTTTTTCAGAATCAAAAGGAAAATTGAATATTACCAACCGCCTTGAAAATACGATGCTTTGAGCGATTCTCCTGTAATTTTAGCGCGGCCCCTTTCTCTTTCATTACGTTTCTTTTGGTTAGGTATTGGCACTGAGGGGTATTTGGCATTAGTTTTATCAAAGGATAACGAAACAGCACCGAAGTAAAAATATGTATGGATCATATACATATATTATACAGGGTGTTCGATATTAAACACTTTGGAGTAATATTGTAGCATTCCTTGTCAAATTCTAAGGAATACATCTTTTTGCGTTTTTGCAATGCGTAATATCATATATAACAATTTTAAAATAATCACCGTTGAAATTGCAATAATGAAAAAAGAAATAGAAGAAGGGCTTGCGGGCTTCCTTTCATCGTCAGGTACTAGGCCGAACTTCCCCTTCCGAGCTGCATTCAAACGCGTTTTCATTGGTCAGGCTATTGCAATTTCAATGCAGATTATCTTAAAATTTTAATATGTGAAATCAAAAACGCAAAAACACGTATTTCTTAGAATTTGACGAGAAATGCAGCACGACTACTCCACTGCGTTTCATACCGATCGTCCTGTATATAGAATCACATATATTGTAGAATTGAATATATGTACATATTGTTGATATATGACATCCATAGAAATTATACATTTATAATGTGAATATTCCGAAAATTATTGTATAATTTATGTAATTTTTATAGTTTTTTATTTATTTATCATCAGTACGTATATTATTTATATCCGGTCAAATTTTTCTTGATCTCATATAATTCATATAAAATTTTTGTCCACTATTACCTAATACTTACTCTGCTATAGATATACATATATCTATAGTAAAGTACTATCTCGTTGTAAGCGAATATTAGACCAGTTAGAGGAATAAAGTTCGAAGAAATACGTCGCTTGATAGTTTTCTCATTACTGCGTAGCGAGATCGGGAATCGATCATGTATAAGTGATGTCCGTCGGCCAAATTCATGTTCTTCCTCCGACACATTTTACAAAGTCGACTGTTGTATCGAGGAACGATTTTCACTCCATTTAGTACGGACACGACCCATGGAAGGTTCTCAAAGGTAAGGTTCAATAACACAGCTTTCCTGAAGTCTGCTAAGGAACTAGTATCGATCAGTAATCTCCGAAAGAAGGGCTTGCAAAACATCAATTTAGTATGGAACAGAACCCTCAAAGGATTCGGAAATGAGGGTAAATGTCGGTGCAGGAACCTGCACCCAGGTCCGACCATCTTATACTAATTATTTACACAACTTTTTAATAAAAAATACGAAATTTTTTACCGAAAATACTATTCATTCCATCATCTGCATGCATGAGTTCAAATTGTAAGTGAATTGATACACAGAGAAGAATATTTTGATTCATATAACATTTCTTTACACCACTACCTAATACGTATATCTGGAGTACAATACTACCTCGTCATAAGCGAATACTAGGACGTTTAGAAGAATAAAATTCGAAGACATTCATTGCTTGAACGTTCCCTCGTTACTGCAGG